TTGGTCATAATGATAGTATTTTTCTCACGATTCAATGATATTGTTTGATCACTTTATAATGATAATTTTCACTTTATATACTAGCATATTTATTTCTATCTTTTGGTTTATGTATCTCCCTTATTCTCACTCTTCGTCTCGCTTGTTTCTATCTCTTTTCACTATATCTTTTTCTCTCTCCTTATTCTCGCTCTTTCAATTAATCCCTCTCTCTATCGCCTTCTCCCTCTCTATTTCTCTCTTTCTCTCTCTCTCTCTCTCTGTCTATATATATATATATATATATATATATATATATATATATAGATAGATAGATAGATAGATAGACTTTCATCTAAAGAAGATGCTGCTCGGTTTTCTGAGGCATATTATCATTTATCGGTGATGTGGTTCAATTCCGGATATTACAAATTTTTTTTAAAAATTCGGTTATTACAACTTTTTTTTAAAAATTTTCCATCTTTTCCATTCAGACAAAAACAAAAATTAGATGAAGAATTCCGGAAGGAAATATTACACCAAAAGTTCTCTGACTTTAAGAGACGCTTCAATAGCAAAAGAAAAAATGAATCAAAAAAAAAAAGATCAGGAAAATTAGGCAAAAGAAAACACTTAAACATGAATGATGTAAAAGTTATATATATATATATGTGTGTGTGTGTGTGTTTTATGCGTGTGTGAGTGTGTGTAATATCTCGGATCGACCAAGTAGAATTACCTAGTTCGATGAAACGTGTAGGCTTATTCGCATATTCACTCTGGACTTCAACACATTTGACTCATCGTATCTCAAATTTCTTCAACACATTTCCAAAACTTCTAATTCTTATTAGAAGTAAATCAGTTGTAGTAAAACAACATCCTCAACTATTTTCATAGTTTTTCTCTTTTTCTCTGTATATCTATTTATATCTATTAGGTACATGTCAGCTTCACATTTAAGGTAGTAATAAAACTCATTCACACTCTTGTTTGAAATGAACACTAAATATTGAATACCTAGAAACATAGTCATATTTCAGTTACTTTAATCTTTCACATTCACACATATATATATATATATATATATATATATATATATCTCTGTGTGTGTGTGTGTGTGTGTGTGCGCGTGTGTGTGGTGTGTGTGAGTTTGTGCTTGTGTTATCCAAAATATACTCACGCGCTTCAAAAACCGATTGCCATCGAAAGATCGAGGAAATTTGAACAGATTTTTTTATTGTCAACAACAGGAACTTTATTTTCAGAAGTACTTCAGTGTTTTTATTGTAATTATTTTTTTTTTATTCTAATGAAATATATCAAAAGAGATTCATTGCACAAAGGGGCAGATTCGGATACAGTCACATCAAGTAGATGCAAAAGCTTTTGATTTCCTCTTGTGAGAATTCATTAAAGTTTGTCAATGAACGAACTGCAATGGAAAGAAATTGTTGAAGTCATATTTCATTTGATGTTTACAAGCCAGTCTCTCCAAAATGCAAGCAATCTGTTGATGCTGAAATTTGACATTACTTGAAGTAAAGCATCATTTAAATATAAACCTTGAAACATTTTTTATAGTTAATCTTTATTATGAATGACTTAAATAATATTCACTTTAAAACCAGAGCTGAAATTTAAAGTGTATATATATATATATTTATGGATACAATATATATAGATAGATAGATAGATAGATAGATAGATAAGAAGTAGGGAATGGAAAGAGATAGATAGATAGATAGATAGATAGATAGATAGATAGATAGATAAGAAGTAGGGAATGGAAAGAGATAGATAGATAGATAGATAGATAGATAGATAAGAAGTAGGGAATGGAAAGAGAGAGAGAAAGAGATAGATAGATAGATAGATAGATAGATAGATAAGAATTGGGGAATGGAAAGAGAGAGAGAAAGAGATAGATAGATAGATAGATAAGAAGTGGGGAAGGGAAAGAGAGAGAGTGACAGAGAGAAAGAGATAGATAGATAGGGTGCGATGGGTAAATTGTTGCCATCTTATATTTTTAATTTTGCGTATGCGCGTTGTTTGTTTGTTTTGGGGTTTTTTTTTTTAAATTTTTACTGCACTGCAAAATATAGTAGGGCCAGTTGTGAGAAAAAGAGCACCAGTACGCCAGAAATTTGGAAATTGCTTGCTGTACAGCTTGAGGTTCGCGCCGGTAGCCCCATTACGAATATTTAAGTGCATTTGGGTGTTAATCTGAGGACAGTGCAGGGACCGAGAGTGATGGAAACCAAATATACAGTCAACCTCATGGTGATCTCTAGTAATGGCGACGTTATGCCTCCATTTAACTTCCCACATAGGCCTACATCATTTGTCTTGAGGAGGTAGTGCTTCTCTGTGTCAAGAGGGTGGCTGCTGAAAGACCCTATGTCTGGTAACAGGACTCTGCACCATGTTGCACAAGCAGGAGAACCCAGTCATGGCCGTCAGATAATTTCTGCGACTATATCACCCTTACACCTGGGCATCTAACTCCCAGACTACAATACCCTTGATTATTATGTGTGGGATTCTGTTGAACAAAACTCCTTGTCACATCAAAGATGAACTGAAGGCTCATCGCAGCATTTACCAACTTAAACAAGGAAACTGCCCAGAAGAGTTGCAGGGGATTCCAAAGTCGTCTTGAGGTCGTGGTTGAAGCCAATGGCGATTTTATTGAATAAATTTATTCTTTAGTATTTCAAGATATTGTAGGGTAATTTTGGTAAATATATCTGTTAAAATGGGATGTCAGTGTTATTTTCACTTTTGCATAATTTAGACAATTTATCCATCGTACCCTGTATATATATATATATATATATATATATATATACTCCTGAAAAATTTATTTCGGTTGAGCTCTGAGGAGGAAGTGTGAGTGTATAAACAGTGACTATTGCTGCTAATAATGCAAGACTCTTCGATAAACTGAATCATGTTCTCTCAGTATCTTTGTGTTTATCTAAAAATAAATACGATTAAATTCATCTTCATACCTGTCGTGCGCCAACGGCTTAGGGGTAGAATCTCCGACTGACGCCAATTCAGCCGGGGTTCGATCCTAGCCACACTGATGAGCTATGATATAGCAAAACAGTCTGTCTGTGGATGACAATATATGTGTGTGTGTGTGTGTGTGTGTGTGTGTGTGTGTGTGTGTGTGTGTGTATTGAGGGAATATCAAATCGCAACACCCTAAAGGAATGATTGTGATCTCAGTATATGTATGTACATGCTGGAGAGTAGTAGATATCATGATCAAATTTGCAAAGTCTGCGGTCATCTTTTGACATAGTAACACTCATACTGGTACAATGTCTGGGCTTTAGGCTATGATACGTGCTGCGATAAATCTCAATGTGATTAACGGGTCCAATTCAAGGAATTATCATGTCACGGAGATATACACGTGTCATTTTGGGGATAGTCATTCTGAAAGGTTGCTATACATAACAGTTGGTACATCTATGTGGCAACAATGAATAAATATTTTTGGACAACCCGCATAATAAAAACACTCGATAAGATTGACGCCCATTACCCAAATCAGTGTAAATATGATCACAGTTGTGTTAATACAAAATATTGCGAATCATTACTTACATAACTATGAAGCACTTACCTGATTTACACCTAACGCTAGAACGGCGCCGTGCATGTCTCAAGTGGTGTCGCCCGGGGCTCATCTGAGGAATCAAATGACACTCGGTAATGTTCATTGATGAGAAGTTGTGGCTTCATGCAGGTAATGATAGTTTGCATGTGCAATATAAACCTGGAGAACGACATCACCGATGGTGCATTCAACAACATACAGACCCAATCCTTGACATTATCTAAATTACAAATCTCACACCACTTTGACATATGCGGAAGGGACTTTGAGCAGCGCATTCCACATCCGGATCATTGTTTAACCCATTCTATCCTAATTCCTTTAGCGGAAAGCTGGTGTGCTGCTTCAGTAGAATAAAGCCTGCTCAAATGATTCCTGTACTATTCAACATGATCTGCAAGATATTCGACACTTTTCGTGACCTGCACAACCAACACACCTGTCCACCATTAAACATATATAATATATGATGAGATAACACCTGAATCGTTCTGTTAACCCTCCTTCACTTCTACTTATATTACTTCAATAAGTGTAGAAGGTATAAAATAATGTAATGCCGGATACTAATTAACATCTTTACAATCATATCCATTCAAGACTAAAGGCTTGTATTAAAGCCTAATTAGGATATACAGTGCATTAACATGGGATCTAAATACTGTTGATACTCCTATTATTTCACCTGTGCACGCATTGACTTATATCTGATATCATTTACTTTAATCAGCTAAACCCTGACACACGTTTAATCCTGAGTAAAATTAAATATCAGAATGGCTTATTAAGTTTTCTCGAATACTCCAGCCGGTAAACGAAATAAGTACTGCTTAAAATAAACGGAGCGTCTACACAAATACGGGTATCCACTTGAAATAACGTTTGAAGTAATAAAAATATATCGGATTAAAAAATAAAATCCCTTATTTCTTTAGAATTTACTTTGCGCGCAGGAAACTGGGCAGATATGCGTTTCGAGTAAAAATCTGAAGTTTGTTTTAAAGACTTTATGGTGAAGCTCTTCGTAGTCGAGCGGTAAATGCACACCAGATCAAACGGTGATTCCTTTTGAAAGTTCAGGCGCAGGTTCCTTTATTAGATTTCTCGAGTACACCGGCCGATAAACGAAATAAATACTGTTTAAAATAAACGGGGCGTGTACTTAAATACGGGTATCCAATAAAAATAACGTTTGAAGTTATAATAAATAGATATATATTAAATGACAGTTTAATGTATGAACTTGTTTTTATTAAAACTCTTTTGTAACTTTTGTCAAATTTGAATGGCTTTTCCAACTCACTAATTTTTCAACTAAAGCAACACGCTTTTCAAAGCTTGGATAAAATAAATACACCAACGTTCACTGATATTTGAACATGTCATGAACGTCGTAAAGATGTTAAAACATCTGGGTTCTTTATTTATCGAACACTGAGCACCGACATTTTTCAGATGTAGCTTTCATACTTTGCTTATCAGTGTTTAATGAAGAAGGTTTTCATATTAAGTGAAACAATTACATTTCTTAATGGGTGCAGGTGTTGCTGAGCGATGATAATAAAGCGAGTTTCTTCACAGACTGATCAAACTATTGTGGCTCTTTATCAAAATTAGCGCCTATCATAGAACAGTGGATGCAGACTATTCATGAGTTGATTGCCTTTGATTTTACTAGTTATTCTATTCTTATGGGCAGACATTGGTAAACTTTGTATTTGCTGACCAATAAGAATTATGTTTCTAAAGGAGTAACTTATGCAACTTTACCACTTTGGTATTCGGCTTCCATCACATTGAACGTAATGCAATTTCGTTTGTTTGTTTTCATTTACTTTGCTTTATTTATCTTTTTTCTTCTTTTCTTTGCTTTTACTGCGTTTTATATGCCGGTAAAACCCTATACTTTATACAAGATTAGCTTCATTTTCCTTCTTTCCATTTGTTTCTTTATTAAGGTTGGTTGTTATAGTCGTCATTGATGTTGATGGTAGCAGTGGCATTCGTTTCTTTCTTACTTCTTTCCTTTGTTGCGTTGCTATGACAACTAGAGATGGGTTTAATTGCTACTTGTCGTTGGCAGGTGTAAGAGAAAGCCCCTGGGTTTTTGGTTGCATCCTGATGAAGACAAGAAGACGCCATTTTGTCCCTGATGATGAAGTGATGGGAAAGGAATAAAGAGAAGAAGGTAAGGAGAGGCGCGTACCGCGTTTCGAACAGGAGAGTCTATCAGATGACAACTGGTGGTGGCGAGTAGGTACAGCTGAAAAGGTTCTAAAGACTGACCATCATTTGATTGAATCCCCTGAGGAAACCAGACAGAAGGAAGCTGGATATAGGAGTACACGATTTGGACGCCGTGTTTATTTGTGTATAATGCAAAAAAAATAGTGTGTCAGGATTCAAATGCAAAATCCGAAAGTAGTTTATGACTTGGACTATTTTGGTTCAACTCAGATCTCGTATCATAAAATGTCAATCTGTATATGTGATATATTTTGACCATCCAATTTTGTTCTGATAATCAGTCATATGTAGATCTCAACAAGTATCCAGTACACAAGTTGATTTAGGATGAAGCGCATATGGAAGATTTTTACAAACATTGATAATAATACTGACTATATTTTATTTAAAGAAATTTTACTTTTACTTTTATAACTGGTCCAAATTGTTCTCAACTATAGACAGAAAACCCACCATGTTAGAAAGGAGGTTGCAGCCGGTTCAAACAGAATTCTTATAAGTTAGTTTAAGAACTAAAAATCGTTCGCTCTTTAAATTTCAACAAATGAGGACTAATCTCAAAAGATGATACTGTCAAATCTCCAAGTATCTCTCCACTATTTCAATGATAAATGTTTCCTCTGTTGAATATTGCTTTGTTTAAGAAATAAGCTTACCTCACTTCTCTGCTTTAAATCCATCAAAAACCACATCAGTTAAACACTTTTAGCATCAGGAACAGTAAAATGTGTCGGCCATCTAACAAGAAGAGAAAATAATGATATAATCAAGTTGTTAACTTTCTACACTGCTAAAAGCAAAGCGTTCAGAAGTAACCATCAGTATCAGAAAGATCTATAACATTTAGAGGACTTTAATTTTCTGAAAACTGTTTTTTAAGAAAAAGATTTTATATATTTCAACAACAGTAACATGAAATGTTCGGTCAATGAATGCCGAATGTTTTCTGTGTGGAAACGGTTATTTTCACAACTGCCACTGGGTTGATCTGCTCATATTTTTCAATCTTTTCTTTTTTAATTTTCCAGATTCATTCCACGAATGCTTTTTCTTCTAGCAGATCAAGTCGACCTGATGAGGACGCAGTCGTTTCTTTTTCTTTATTCTTGAACTGCTCGCTCACACAATTCACAGCTGAAAGTAGAAATTCCGAATTACGAGGAAGGATCAGCTATCTCCGCAATTGGCAACAAGTTTGTGCATCTAAGCGATTAATATTCATCATCGAATTAAGTGTATTGACAAGAGCGTAGATTACACTGAATTGTAGTGTAAAATATTTTTCATCGTTAGGCTACGGAATTATTCTAGGCACTACGCATGCGTGTTTATGCATTTATCGATACACAATATATTTCAATTTATGTCTGCATATTTGGTATATTTATCCATGAATGATTCGGATATACATTACAGTATGAATAAAACAACATTTTTTTCTTGACTGTAGGTTATATGGAACAATTATTTTAAAACTTTGTTCCTTCTGCGGGATTTTTGGTTTACTTCACGAGCAACATTTCATAAAGAAACAGAAATATGCCACCCCATTCATGGAACTTCCATCATTGCATGACTGTTCAAATCACATGCTATTGTGTGAACATACACACAAACACACACACACACACACACACACACACACACACACATATATATATATATATATATATATATTACCAGAATAACATAAGTAGATATACCTAATCTCACATACATAAATATATGAGTGAGCATACAATCATGCTCATATATATATATATGTGCGTGTGTGTGCGTGTATGTGCGTGTATATATATATATATATATATATATATATATATATATATATATAAAGTTGCTGAAAAATATTCTGCCCGCTTCACTTCCCAAAATTTTAGCAAACATCGACGACTTCAAATACTAAGAGAATGCTGATACATTTTGTTTATAACACAGGTTATTATTTGAGAATCAAAATCTTTTACCGTAAAAGTATTTAAGAAAAAGCTAAAATTTCGAAAGCTTCTTTTCAAAAGTGGCATACTTTCCAATATAGAACATTAGCGTCATAATTAGTTGCTGAAAAGTTCTCTATCCGACCAAAAAGCCCTTCCAAAAACATTTTGGTTCGATTTTCGGCAGTATGTATGTTTCCAGTATTGTTTAATTTAAAAAAAAGGATAGCTTTCTAGTATGTATTCAGTCTCTACTTTAGAAAAAAAAGGATACCGTGAGCATTTGCACACTCTTAATCTATATTTTTTCTTCTCTGTAGACACAGCATGTGTATGCATTAAAACTGCTTATGTATAGATATATATTTTTAATGTTCTTGTTATTCGTGAGACTTACGCATTTGTCTCTTTTTGGACAAATACTTTTTCACCTGTACACACTGAAAATCTCTTCGTTGTTTTAGCCGGCTCATTTTCGTCGTCTTTTAACATGTGTCTTTCTTTCTTTCTATCGTAGATAAATGTACATATCGTTAGTTGTGCTTTGCATGAGGAATGGAATGTGAAATTGAAGGAGAAAAAGAGTTTGGATGGGGATGGGGAGTGGTTGTGAAATGGCTTCTTAAAACCGGAAACAAAGACATTTCATATCTTTTTTAAGAATCTCTCGTTGGCTGTCCTCTTGAAGGCATTCTACCGTTTGCTTTGCGTTCGGTTGAGAAGTATAAATTTTTAAAATTTACAAAGAAATACATTTTGCTCCCTTTTTTTAAAACATCTAACAGAGTGAAAGAGAACAAGAAGATACTTTTAAAATAAAACAATAAATTTTCGACATGTTGTTTCGCTTTTAGGCCATGTCTTTAAAATGTTCGCCTTTCATCACATTCTTGTTCTCTCTTGTTTTATTAGTTCTTCACGGTTTTGCTTGTTCTTTATAATCTTCTTGGATATTAAACTTTCGCATACACACACACACATACCCCCACACATACCCCCCCTATATATATATATATATATATATATATATATATATATATATATAAATATATATATTTATCCAAATATCCAAAATATTAATCACCCGTAATTCTTTCCATGTAAAATAGGTTTAATATTTTGCTTTGCAAAGGTGCTTGTACCTAATTAGCATAAATTTGTGGTCATTATTCAATACGTATATATGCCATAAGCATGCACAGATGGGATATCAGAAACTGTTATAGAGGAATATAGTCGAACGAAAATAATAACATGATGAAAAAAGAGAATTCATTTTTCTGTAAAAAGCAGTCGAAAATGGAGATATCATCACAATAGTAATAAGTTCCATCCGTCATCTCGAATGAAAAATACTCAACACCGAATCCACTTTGGATTTGTTTAAGACGAGATTTTTTCAAGAACAAATGATTTTAATATGTTTTAATTTAAAACAGCTAATTTATTTTCTATTAAGAGACTTTTGAACTTACAATAAATATTTCTTCATAACAGTACAACGATTTTGATAATGGTGCCAGTGGTTGTTGTAGCCGTAGTAAAAACTAGGATTTTAAAAGATATATAAAGATAGAACAGAAATATTTGTAATTGTGTGTTACAGAAGAAATGTTTAACATTATCAATACCAAACAATAGATGAATTACTCCTTATAGCCATGTATCTATAACTATAAGTTAAATTAGTAATATTAAGTTAATCTGGCATAGAGCAACAGCAGTTAGGCATCCAGTGAGGATAAAACTGATTGTATTAACGAATTCTGAATTTTTTGTGAACTGTTTTTCTTTTCTTTTCTTTTTTAAGCTTTATTTTTTACTTTCATTAAAAAGAAAGAAAAAGACGAAAAATAGTGAAATTGTCTTGTGGCCAAAGGGTAAATCATGTCCACCTCGATATTTTTGCAAAAGAAAAATTCTTGCCATTTTTTATTTTCTTTTACCCATTCAGCGATCTTTTGATTTAGTTTTTCTTCTTTGATTTGGAATTTTTTTTCTTTTATTTAACTATTTAAATTATTCTTTCTCTTTTTCACAAAGTTTCCATTTCCTTCTTATTGCATTTTTTATTCGTTTTTCTGTTCCAATCTTTTTGTTCGTTCCCACTGTCATCCACCTGCATTTTTCATTTATTTTTATTTTTTCCATCGTCCCTTTTCTCTTCCATCCTTTCTTTCTTGCATCTTTCTTTCTTTTCCTCTATTTTCTCCTTGATTTCTTTAATTTTTATTTCTGTCTATCTTTTGTTTTATTTTCATTCTCTAACTTTTCTTTATTTCGACTTTGAATTTCTTTCTCTCCCATATTTGCTATACATTTTTTCCTTACAATTCATTTCTTTTTTCTTTTCATTACTATTATCCTTCTTTCCCACTTTCCGTTTCCTTCCTTTCTTTCCTATTCCCTTTAAATTTTCATTTTGTTCCTTTTCTTTCTTCCTTCATTTGTCTTCATTATTTTTTTTCTTTTACTTCAACATCTTTATCAATTCTTTTCTTAATTTATTCATTTTTATTTATTCCTATTTTGCTTTTTTATATATTTTTCTTCGTTTCCTTTATGCTTTCTTTTTCTATTTATTTTCCGTTTTCGTTATTTATTCTTCTTTTTCTTTTTTTTCGTTTTGATCATTAGTCATAATTTTTTCACTCTACCACGTTTCATTCCTTTTATCTTTACTTTTGTTATCTTTTTTTCTCTCTTCATTTTCATTGAATCTTTTTAGGTTTCTTTCTTCGTTTTACCGTCCAGTCAATTTTAGTATTTTGTATTTTTCAAATCTTATTCTTTCTGTTTGTTTTATTTTCATTCACTATATGTCATTTTGTCTTTTGCATTCTTTCCTCATTCTCTCTTTTAATAATGCTTCTTCGTTATGCTTCAAATTTTCCTTTCTTTTCCTCCCAAATCTCATTCTTCATATTCGTATTTCTTTAAACCTGATTTGTTATCTTTTCAACAGCTTACTTTTTCTTTCAAAAATAATTACTGAAATATTTATAATTCTTCATTCTTCATTCGGAAATATCTTTTTAACTTTTTAATATTTACTTCATTTTTTCTTTCTTTTGTGATCATTTATTTCAACTTTTTCATTTTTTCATTTTCTTTCCTTCTCATTATATTTTCTCTGTTTTCATCTTACCTTTCTTTCTTTTCTTATTTCTAATCATTTTTTTATCTTCATGTTTTTTTATTTTTATTTTTAATATTCATTTGGATTCCTTGTTCATTTTTATTCTTCTGTTCATTGATTCGTTCTTTCTTTTTAAAAAAATTCATCTTTTCAGAATTGAATATTCTTTTTAGTTACATTTTGTCCAAGAGAATCTCTCCGTCCTTTTTCTCTTTTTTATCTTTTGATCACTTTTACCCTTTTTCTTTCTTTCTTACCTTCGTTCTCTTTCACGATATTTTCCCCCTTCTCTTTCTAATATTTGCAATTCAATTTTCTCCTTGCTTCCTTCTTCTCATTCCAAATCTCCTTCACTGTGTAAAAGCCACGCCTTATCGGTGTGTTTCATGTCATTCCTGGTGCATGCGCACTTGAGAGATAATAAAAAATGGCAAAATCATGGGAACTTTTTTAAGTAAAAAAAATCGAAAGAATTTTATGTCTTTAGGGAAAAACGCGTGACCTTTTAAGACAGGAAGAAAAAATGAAAACATTTGACACAGACAACGGGAAAAGAAGAAAAAGAAAAAACTGAGATAAAGAAAGAGTGAGAGAAAAAAAGAAATCAATAGAGGAAATATTGTCAGAAAGGGGGATGATAAATGAAAGATTAGAGATATAAATAAGAAGGGGAAAAAAAGGAAGAACAAAGAGAGAGAGAGAGAGAGAGACTGAAAAAGAAAGCCTTAAAATTTTGTGATGCAAAGAAGGAAACAAAAAGTGAATATTTGAGTAAACAAAGAAAACTTTAACAGAGGTAAGTACGATATCTTAAGTGAAGTTGTTGCAGCTTCCTTGCTTCCATGATCTCAAAGTTTTGGTGAAACATTTATAGTATCACTAGAGAGTTAGATGAAATGAATGGTTATTTGTCAGCAGTTACTGGTTAGTTACTTGATTCCAGTTTTTAAAAGATTGTTGTGTCATATTGAGTCCTGAAAATACACTTCGATTATCAATTCTTGCCAATTCATTGACCGTTGACGCTAAATTGCAGCATTTCAAGGGGTATATTCGTTGGTCATCTTCAAGTATAATTAATCAATAAAAGTAGTTCATTAATAAGGCACGATTTGTACCAAACTAATGAGTTAGTCTTCGAGACAAACTTGCTTATACTGGTCGCGAGTTCAGGAAATGTTTGAACGAGATATTTTCACTAGGTTAAAGTACGATTCACCTTCTTTGGGTTTTTCTCAATCTAAATTCTTCAACGAATGTATAAATCGAACTCATACTCGATAAAGTCTAGAACAAGTACGTGCAGAAACGTTTCGCATTATCTTAGTTCCTAGCATTCATAATTAGATTAAATAAAAACAGCAGTAACATGTTTCTCGTGTTTGGATCGTCGAAATTAGAGAGCACGTAACAATTTGTGGAGTGGATTAAAGTTCTAAATCAGAATCATTACTTTTATTGCCTCTAGAATGTCATGGAATCAGTTTTTAGAATACAAGTTATACCCTCTCGACTGTTTTGTTCTTTTTTTATTCAATAGTGCGACATGAAAACATTCATAAATTGATATGTTTATGTCAATTTAAGTAGGCGATGACAAAATGTCAACTCTGGTTCTATGCGTAGTGGTTAAGAAAGACTCGTCTTCCAGCACGGTTGAAAATGGGTCAACCTGAAGTCTTCTAATAATTGGTCAGTTGTTAATTATAAGACATTTTTGGATATGTTCACGGCTTTATACAAGTTCTATCAAATAGTTAAGCTGCGATATTTGAGAAAATAAAAATATGTAATTTATTTTAAAAGTTTAAAAGATCCAGACTACTTTTAATCTCACGACCATTTACATTTTGTTGTTATTGTTGTTGTTTTTATCAATCCATTTTACAAATCTTCTTTTATCTACCGTGGGCGATCATAGCTCTCTACATCTTCCTATCTTTTGTAGCGCTTAGCAATGTTCGTTTTTCTCTCCCACTCTCTGTTCTGACATTCACCTACACAATTTTGTTAGGATGGGGTTGCTCTCTGTCTCCCTCCATCTTGCCTTCAGTATGCCCCGTGAGTGTCAAATTCTTAAGGTCTTCTTTCCACATTATGTGTCCCAGAAATTTTAACTGTCTCTTTCAGATTCTAAATACATATGATCTTTCAGTTCTTATATTTATTGAAACCTCTTCATTGCTCACATGCTCCATTCACAGTATCCTCAGCATTCTTTTGTAGAACCACACCTCTTGTATCAAGTCTCCTCTTCACTTGGCATGAAATTGTCCATCATTCATTGTCATGTAGGAAGATTGATATTACGTAACAGTTAAGATATTTCATTTTGTTCCTGGAGACATTTTTACGTTTCTTAATTTTTTTATTTTTATTTTTTTGAAAGGCATAATTCGTTATACCAATTCATCTTCAGAGTTTGATGTCATATTTTCCGACATATTTTAAAACATTTCCCACATTCAGGGTGCGATGGATAAATTGTCGCCAGTTTATATTTTTTAATTTCGCACATGCGCGTTGTTTGTTTTTTTTATTTTGTCGACTTCACAATATAGTAGGATCAGTTGGGAAACGTCTGCGAGTAAAAGAGCACCATGGCACAATTCACTCCGCCAGAAATTTGAAAATGACATGCTGTACTGGTTGGCATTCGCGCTGGAAGCTCCAATACGAACATTTCAGAGTGTTTGGATGTCGAAAAGAGTTGGATGAGTCTAATGGTGATTACGAAGATACAGCAGCTCGGAAAACTCACTATGACCGTTCTGATAAGAAAAGAACTCCCAACTTTGTTGATAAGGACCTACATCAAGTGCCTTGAGGCGGTAGTGCTACCCTGGGTCAAGAGGATGGTTGCTGGAAGACCTTATGTCTAGTAACAGGAATCTGATCCATGCCACAAAATCTGGAAAACCCAGTCATGGCTGTCAGACAATTTCTGCAACCACATCACCCCTTACATCTGTCCAAATAACTCCACAGACTGCAACCCGCATGATTATTATGTGTGTGCGCAGTTGAGGAACAGATTAACAAAACTCTTTGTAACACCAATAGCAGTATTCACCAGCTTAAAAAAAACGACCAGAAGAGTTGCAGGAGATTCCAAAGTCGTCTGGAGGCCTTGGTTGAAGCCAATAGCGACTTATTTGAATAAATTTATTCATTAGTATTTCAAGATATTTTGTGTAATTTTGGTAAATATAACTCTTCAAATGAAATGTCAACGTTATTTTCAATTTTGCGCAATTCAGACAATTTATCCATAATACTCTGTACTTAAATTTCTGTTTTTGTTTTTTGCTTGATTTGCACATCGATTTGTAGCTCGCATTTTAGGATATCCCTCTGGCTGAAAAACCATAGATTCTGTCTTCTTGATGTTTTGTTCTTTCTCCTGCTTTCTTTTAGTAACTTTTGCAGTTCTTGCTGTTTTCTTTCTGTGTCTGCTATCAACACAGTGTCATCTGTGTATCTTGTGTTGTTAAGATTGTGCTGACCAGTAGTAAATTCTGGTAGGGCTTCTCGTTCTCTTAGGATTGCCTCGATGTATAGGTTAAAATATCCCGTAAGAAGATGTATTAATATATGATAAATGTGTATGATAAAAATATAATACATGCGTCAAATGTATTTTGCTGAGTTTTTACTGGCTAATCAAAGTCTATAATCTGGTGCATAAATGCACTGACTAATTGGACTAGACTTTGTGGCCATGAAAGTCACAGTCGATTAATTTTCAACAATTTGTATTTTAGTAGATTTATATTTGCAAAGGATTTTCTGAAGTAAAATATCTCGGGATAATTCTAAACGTTCTCGATTCACAACGGAATATTTTCCTAAAATTCGTTATTATCTAACATGTGAATGAAAAGCAACCATATCGTCTTGCCAAGTTTCTTGTCTGTCACAAAAAGGCAATTTGTGGTTGTTTTCAACGGATTAATTATTAATCTTATAGACTGAATAGTCAAGATTCAGTCTGTTTATAAGTGACCCAGATCAACCAAAAGAAATTTATAATTAACTTCATTACAAATGCATTTGTAAATGTTGCATTTCGTCTCTGTGGCCATTGCGATGGAACATCAATTGGCTTAGGTTAAATGTGCATACTACTCAAATAGTAAATGAGATTTTGAATATTTCAAAAACAAAAATGAGCTTTCTACAAGCGGCTATTGGTATATTATATTTTTATAAAAATGGCAACAATAGAAATTCTAGGGATAATTTAACAAAGATTTCTGAAATCACTGTATGAATGTCATGCATTAATCTGACACCGGATAGAAGTAACATCGCAACCAATGAGGATCGATTTTACTTCATCAGCAATGAACAACGAAACTGAATAAAGTTGCAATTCTCTACTAGAGACAACCTTCTTGCTTTTCGATATCTTAATTGTTTTTTGCATCTTATTTCCTCTCTCTCTCTCTCTCTCTCTCTCTCTCCCCCCTGTCCTTTCTCCTTCAGTCGCTTTTGTTATTTCACTTTTTATTAATCTTCCTTTCCTAACTTTCTCTCATTATTCTTGAATACATAATACCACGTTTACATTGGCGCATGCGCAATGGCTGTCGCAGAAAAAAAAAGAATCGTGTCGTAGATACGATGCCTCAAGTACAGAAGCAGCAACGAAGATTCGAACAAGTAGCCACGCGAAATCATGGCAAAGGTGACAGGCAGATAAAGAGCCAGCGCCTGCAACAGGTGCATAATAGTCGAGACGCGAATGAGATCTGTTAAGAAGATGTCTAACACAACAGGTCTACACAAGATAAAGGATGGTAACAAGCGTGACCAATAGAGCAGGTAGGTCACGCCAGAGGCGTCACATTATCGAGTGCTCAGCAATATTCTGCTTTCAGATTTTTCAAACAAACGTGTTTAATTGACGCTTCTTTCTTCTTTGTGAGCTGATGCTTCTGGATGAATTAACATTTTAATGAGCGTTGATTGTATAGTTACTATTTTCCTTCCTCAACAGAGAGTATAAAGTCGATTAATTTTGGGATTCGTGACGTGGTCATTTAAAATCCGTACCATTTCCACAGGTATGTTTAACTTCGACTATTTAGCTACAACTACTATTAATACTACACACAGTAAAACAAACCATCATTCATACATACGTACATTATTGGTAGGCCATCGTAGTGTATTAGCAAGATCGTTTCGCAGATCATTTCACAAATTGTCACTGGATTCCCTGCATTTGTGACTAAAACTAAGCTCAGCTAATTTTCAATTTCTCTGCTCTATATCAAAAATAAAAAGTCATTTTTCACCAGTGTTTACTACTTTCTTTCGTTTGATTGGCAAAATATGTGATTCAAAAAAACACCCTATTTCTATTGGTCTAATGTATTTCATGTAGGAAAGGCTTACCATCTTGGTTTCAAAATTGGCTGTCTTTGTTCTTACTTTAACTGATGGGTCTTAATGTTATTCATATTAGTAGTACTAGTAGTATTATAGGAGTAGTAGTAGCACTGACAAATCCCTTCCCTTCATTTCCCGATCTATCACATTATCATAATGCGTAGAATATTTCTGTAAAGATGTAACAAAAAGCAAAATCAAACAAATACCAGTTTGGATATAATTTTAGTTCCTTTGGATATAATTTTAGTTCCTTTGGATATAATTTTAGTTCCTTTGGATATAATTTTAGTTCTTTTGGCTATACATAATGGTTTGGTTGGGATAACTGGGTCATTTTATGAAGATTAATGGCAGTTCTTTTCCTTTAAAAAGATAGACGCAATGGTCTTCATAAATATCTATTTTATACATGATCTAGTAATAAACGTAAAAGTTATCAAACGTATATATATATATATAGGAGGAGGAGGTGCTATGAAATTCTCACCCAGAAACACTTCACACAATCTGACCAAACCTCAAGTTATAGATAGATAGATAGATAGATAGATAGATAGATAGATAGATAGATAGATAGATAGATAGAAGGGTTTTTTTGTCTAGAAATTTTCAGCAAAGCTCCCAAATTTTGATGACGAAATATCAAAATATTGATTTGAGGAAGTAAGTCAGGCCGGGAATTTCTCAGCACCCTCTCGTATACATGCATACATACACACACATACACACACACATACACACACACACACATATATATATGTGTGTGTGTTTGTGTGTGTGTGTGTGTATGTGTGTGTGTGTGTATATGTATGTATGTATATGTATGTATGAGTCTGCGTATTATATTACACAGTATGTATATACATATGTATGCCAATGTTACTGTAATGTATCTACTGTCGGTAAGAAAAGCAAATTACTTCTACGTCATCATAATTATCCTTTCTTGATTCATGGGTTAGGAGCTGTGCTGATACTGTCTATTTTCGTTTTTCCGAAGACTTTGTTTCATTGAAAAGAGGTCGCAGGCGTGACTCCTGGGGGCGCTGGAAAATTGAAAAACATTTGGTGCCCATTCTTAGCACTGAATAAAGGAAATTCCTCAAGGAACATTCCGACGGAACGGAAAGTTAGCAAGATGAGCACAAAAGATGAGGAAATGAAGCCCCGTTGACAAGCAAGAATAAATATCGGCATGATTATGAAGAGAATGAGAAGAAAAAATAGAAAAAAAAGGGAAAGGCTATTTGGTGAAAGTAAGGTTTTGGCAAGGATGAAAGAATAGAAAAAAGGAGAAAGAGGCTGATTAGGGAGAGGAAGATGTTGGCGAGAAAAGAAGAATAGAAAGGAGGAGAAAGAGGTTATTTGAATAAGTAAGGTGTTGGCGAGGAACGAAGAATAGAAAACAGTAGAAAGAGGCTATCTGGTGAGATTAAGATTTTGGCGAGGAAGAAAGACTAGAAAAGAGGAGAATGAGGTTATATTGTGAGAGTAAGGTTTGGGCAAGGAAGGAAGAAATGAAATAAAAAAAAAATGAGGGAAATAAGAAAAACAAAAGCAGTGGGAAAGTGGGAGTCCTAATCTCTCTCTCTCTCTCTCTCTCTCTCTCTCTCTCTCTCTCTCTCTCTCTCTCTCTTTTTTCATTTTTTTCTCTTTTTGGCAATTAGGAAGAAAACGGATGGGAAGATGAAATGAAATTGTTGTAACAAGAAAGTTAGTAGAAAAGAGGATGAAAGAGGAGCAGTAGTGATAAGAAAAAGCAGTGAAATAAAAATAGTATAAGGTGATTTCTAAAAGACTCGTGTTACAGATGATCTTCTTTTTCCTTTACAACTAGTAGAATTCAAACCACAATCTAAATCACTTAGCTAATATTAAATCGAAACATCGAAAACAAAGAGAAATCATCACAGAGAGAAAATAGAAACCATCTCCCAGCATTCCGATATTTCGATCAAAATTTCTACAGATTCTGTTCCATACACGGTTTTTTGATTCGGATCGAACATATAACCAGGTTTAATTTTAACGATTAATTTGAAACATAACTAAATTCTGAGTAATGTTGCGTACATTTTCTGTGAAAAGATATTGTCTTTCAAAGAGATTTAAGACGAGTATTCTCATAGATATTTACATTAAGCTGCCATTGATGTGATTTTCAGATTTTATCAAATATAAGAACGAGGCGCGAAATAATGAGGATGCTACAGTTGAGGTGGTTATCAAATAATCTGGACAGAATGACATTCACGAATCAGCAATATTAATAAAACTGAAGAACACCTGAGCTAAAACTTTCTAAATGCTAAAACAAAAATACGTGAATACTAGACAGAATTATTCGAAATATAAGGACCGTGCTTTTTATCATAATTGTACGCATTTTCCTCAACAAAAGCTATATATCCAAAAGCTATAAATACAAGAAGAGAAACTGACTAGAATTCTGAACAGATTGAAGAGCAATGAGTTTTACTGTTTCAGTCAAATCAATAGCAAGATTTAATAACTGTTTACCTCTTCCTTGCTTCGTCATCCCGATACAAGTCGTCATCATGAAGACAACCATCGAGAAAGCGGAAATTTACTGTACTTACTACCAGCAAAGTCTGGTCCTATTAGATCAGCAGCGTCACAATTTTATGTTTTGTGTCGTTTATGGCGGGCAAATGTCGATAAGACAAAGTAGGAAACACATCTGATGTGATGAGTTCAACATTCTTGGCGAACATTATTGCACAAAAAATGCTCTGGAAGAATTGTTTTACTGACCATCGTCGTTCATTTAATGAACAAGGATATTAAACATCCACCAAATTTAATAGCCGTATTTTGTCAGTAATGCTTTCATTAATCTCTTATTACTGACAGTACCCTTCTTCCTGTATTTCAATGCATTTCTATATTAAGCCATATTCAATACACTGGAATTTCTGCTAATATGCGAAATATGTTTTTTGTGCGTGTTCGTGTGTGTTTGTACACTGAGACGCCAGAAGTCATGAAAGACGTGCCTAATATGTTGTAGGGTCTCCTCTAGCCCGGTGAAGTACAATAATTTATGGAGAGTTATTCAGCCATGTCACCTCGATAGCTTTCCATTTCTCCTTGATATTTGTAGGAGCAGAACATCGTGTGCTAATAGAGCTCAAGATTTCTTGTCTGCTCCTTAAGCTAATTCTACACAACTTGTGATCTATGATAGTGTGTGTGCATTGTCCTGCTGAAATAACCCATCGTTTTGGGAGCACATGCAGTCTATGAATGGATGCAAATGATTACGAAGCAGAGGTCACCGGTCAATGGCATAGGCGAACCGTCCGACCAAATCCACGTCACGTGAACATATTCCAAAACATTATGGAACTACAATGAACCTGAATGGTATGCTCTTGACAACTAGAATCCATGACCCCATGAAGTATATACCACGCCCTATTTCTGCTATCAGCTCGAAACAACTGGAACCATGACACTGGGCCCCACCACACCGATGTCACGAGCCCAGATGATGTGCGTGTTCGGTGTCGTTCTGTTAATAAGGACACCCTGGTCCCATATCTTACAGAAGCTAATGAATGCTAAATTGCTGAATATCCATCTGGTAACTCCTGTATAGTATGTAGATGTGAAGAACCAGTATCGCTTCTCTATTACCACAGACGCCTAGCAAGACACTTTTGTTCACAATCATTAAAGATATGTGGTCAGCTGACATCATAAATCGAGAGACGTCAAGTGTCGCCACAGTGTCAGAAAAAGGATTTTCCATTCTTCTGGCATCTTTCCTACTATCCGACCTATTATGCAAAAATCTCGACCAGCGAAAGTTGTGTAATGGAACTCGCCCAAGTGTTCAGCTAATCCTACATGTCATCGAAACAGTTATCTTAATTAGGATAACCAAAACGCATGTTAGGATCCCCATGATTCCATCAGACTTGTTCTTGAATTCCAGAATAATCTTTCAAGGTCGCTGACCTTCATCATGCTTAACTAAGCTCTTCCCATGGAGGGGACTTTTTTAACAATTTTTCAGATTCAACCCCAATAAGAGGATTGATGTTGTGTACCTAGAAAGACAGTCAAACTAAAAGATTACATCATTTCTTTACTTATGGATAACAAAACAAAATGTCTTTCGGTAATAGATTCTGTTTATAATATGAAATATATTAAAGAACATATTCCCCTGTGTTCTCATATTTAATTATTTCCCCAACCGGGACATTATCTGCTTTGGTTTATTTTATCAGTAGCCATTAATTCCTGAACACTGACAATCCTTTTGATTTTATTTTCAATGTATTTATGTGGTAAAAACATTGCATATTGCATTAATTCAATTATTTAGGTACCGTTCATTCCTTAATGTTCCCGTTCATTCTAGATTATGGATTGAGTACCGAATCGTGTTAAAAGCAACTGAAAACTACAAAATAAACTGTTTGACTATTACACTGTTTTGTTAGTGAAGAAATAATTAATAAAGTAATAGTGGTGAAGTAAGAATAAAATTAGTTTGATTCATTTAATCATTTCACGTCAAGCAAGACAATAAAGCCATTAAGACAAAAGGGGGGGATACTGAGTATGAAAGAAGAAAATATAAAATATTATTATGGAGCGAGAACAATAAAAGATAAGAAATCAAGAAGACAATAGATAATGACTTATACTGAATTAAAATTTATGAAGATCAAATTTGGTCGTAAAGCCAGAAGCCGGAACAGAGTTCCATAGGCTAGAAGTTCTAGAAAAGAAACGGTAAACAAAGAACTTACGGTTACATCTTGCCATTCAGCTGCAAAATGATGCGACTTAAATTCAAAAGGTCTAGGTGCCATATAGTAAAGTTTATCAGAACAATTAACGTAAAAATATTTGTAAGAAAGGCAGAGAAAAGCGGCGTGGAAAGTGACTGAAGCCGGGATGCCAGGTCAGGACAAATAACATTGCAGATTTTTCTCTGTATTTTATCAAGAATTTCTAACTAAATATAGACAGCACCTGAACATATGTCGCAACTTGAAGCATGGACGAATGGTAAACTTATAAATATGCAAAATAGATACTGGTAAGAAAAATTGCCTACCACAACACAGTGAACCGACAGTCCTACCTGAAGACCGAGCAATTGATTCAATAGGAAAAAGGCAGAAAGAATATCAAGTTTAAATACAGTTAAAACTAAAATGCAACTGGGATATCCATTGCTGGCAATCAAGAGAGAATGAAGATTAGATTTCTATATAAAAAGGCAATTTCTGAAGAAAATGAAGCATTTTGTATATTGCTAAATGCAAAATACAAAAGTTGAAAAAATGACGCATTTTTGAAGATTTCTATATGAAAAAGATAAATCTGCCGAAAAAAGCACGTGTGCATATTTCTAAATGCAAAAGACAAAAACTTACGAATTTTTGCACATTTATATATGAAAATGACAAAATTTGAAGAAAAAGAACCAATTTTGCATATGTCTATATAAAAATGCAAAATCTGAAGAAAATGATTTTTTTTTTCATATTTATATACAAAACGGCAAAATCAGAAGAATATGAAGACTATTTCTAGTTGGAAAATACAAAATCGGAAGAGAAATAGACATTTTTGCATATTTCTATATAAAAAAGCAACGCATGAAGAAAATATAGCATTTTGCGGATTTCTCAAAGAAAAGACAAAATATGAAGAAAAAGAAGCATTTTTAATACTTCTGTACAAAAAAGGCAAAATCTGAAGAACAGGTAATTTTACATATTTCTATATAAAAGACAAATTCTGAAGAAAATGAATCATTTTTGCATATTTCTATTTTCTGACGTTGAAGCCCTGTCGGCTACAGCTCTGTCCTGTCTCTCCGGTGGTTCTGGCCGAAAAGTAAACCAACCGGTCCTCCCCCCGGTGAACTGAAGGAACCACCACTATCCGCCACGTTGTGAATTTTTGATCCGAACAGCAGTATTTCGATCCCTCAGAACGATCCGGAGGTAGGGTGAATTAAATGGCTGGGCTCTACGCTGAAAGAAATCGCTATTTGTGCAGAGAGGCTCTTGTCGTACCGCAAGGGCACAAAGAAGAAAAAAAAAGCAACACTTTCGGTTCCTGTACAAAGAGCTCTTTAAGGCTACTGTGTTTATATCACTACCAAAGAAATTGCACGAATACAAACTATCTTAACGAGATTCACTCGTTTGGGTCGGAACGTCACAGAGAGAGAAAGACACAATTATGCCGGTCAAAACTCGGCTGTACTAAGGGAGATAAACGTGGTTCTTCGTCCGCCCCCTCTGATATAGCAGTGGGCTTTTCTCAGCTTTGTTGACGAAGTTATCTGGATTCGCCCGGGTTCGATTTCTATCTCTTGGTACGATTCGGACTTTTTGACGCATGCAACCGACTGGCCAGATCAG